TGCTGATTATGCACAGTATTTAATTGTGAAAGCATGTACAAGATAAAATTTTATAAAATGTATTATATAAGTTAAAATAGGACAAACACACGTTATAATTGTATGACATTTTTATTGAAAGGTACACTTGGGTTTGATTAGGAACAAACCAGAAGACGACAGTACCACCCTATCCTCATCACAGAAATGAAATTCAAAAGGATTTTTTTTAGCACAGATTTCTATAGGCAGCTAAAAGAACAAAGGCCACTGCATAGCTTTAAAGGAAACTCATACTAGGTACAGGTCTTCAGAGTTTTCCTTATTGCACATTGCCCTGTCTCTATGCCATCTTCAGAACAGCTGTGGCTTACTCGGGCTATCTTCTTATCAGCCCTAACATTACTAGTCTGTTTGCACTAAAATAAGTATCCTTTGACCCCTCCTCTGCTTTTTACTTCACATATAATATATATGTTACTTTATACACAAATAGATGTGGTTACATAGTGTAACCTTTTTAACTCTCAAGCTTGAGCTTAGATGCTAGCCAGCTCTCAATAGTTTCAGTGTGAACTGATATCCATGTAACCAAGCCTTCCATTTCTGCCATGGGATTTGCCCTAAAATAGTTGACTGTAGCTGCTTTTTTTTTTCTTTTATCAGTCATTTTTAAGGAATCACTTTGGTAACAGTTAACACCTAATTGAATTTATTCTTCCAAACGAGTGGCTCAGTTGGTTGAGTACCGAACTGTTGATCTCGGCTCAGGTCATGATCTCAGAGTCCATGAGATCAAGCCCGGTGTCGGGGTCTGTGCTGACAGTATGGAGCCTGCTTGGGATTCTCTGTTTCCCTCTCTCTGCTCCTCCCCTGTTCTCTGTTTTAAAAATACATAAATGAACATTAAAAAAAAAAAAAAAAAAAAAAAAAAGAAGAAGAACTGGCACCAAGAGTGGGATTTTCTCTACAGTGTACCAGATCATCTGTTATTGTAATATCACTAACCACTTGCCAAAAAGAAAGAAAAGTTAATATTTCCTATTTATAACAATGCTTTGTAAAAAAAATAATAATACTAAGATGTAACATTTTTAGATAAGTTTATATCCCCAAAACAGAATTTGGTAATGAATGGATAAATTAAGTAAATTTTAATAATTAGTAAACAATATACTTTTAATTGTTTAGGTTGACAGTTACCTTAATATAACTGAAGTATCTCCTCATATAGGCATTAACAGATCAACAACAGTTTGGTAAAGCTGATGATATGTATGATAAATGTATTGATTTGGAACCAGATAATGCCACAACATATGTTCATAAAGGGTATGTATATTTGTGGTTCTCTTTGTTTCTGTAAGAAACTGTATTTCCTGCATAGTAATAAGATGGATTTCTTCTAGTCCTTAAGAAAGGAAGTAGGGGACTGTGATAGAGAGTGTCAGTGAGTTAACTGACAAATTTCCTAATGCTGTGGATGCTTTATTAATTTTTGAAATTGTACTTACATTTCATTCTTACACAGCAGTTAATAAATGTACTAGCATAAAGATTTCAGTTCTGAACATCCTGTCAAATATTACCTGTATCAAAATAAGTTTTTTCAGTCCTTGTGTACTTGAATTATCATTAAGAAAAAAACTTATACAAAGTAAAAAAATAGGCCATGCAAGGTAAGTCAGTAGTAGAGCCTAGACCTTTGGACACTCTTTTCATAATAAGGAATTTGGACTATAAAACCAATATAAAATTGAGGGGGGAGAATTAATGCTGATTACGGTTTTAGTTGGGTTTTCCTTGTAAATTCATTGAGGTCGGAAATTGAGTCACGTACTTATCCTAATGATACTGTGCCATCGTCCCATCTGACTGCCTTGTTGCATTTGCAGTTTACTTCAGCTTCAGTGGAAGCAAGATCTGGATAGAGGTTTGGAGCTCATCAGCAAGGCTATTGAAATTGACAATAAATGTGATTTTGCATATGAAACCATGGGAACTATTGAAGTGCAAAGGTAACTCCTACAGTATGTTAGAAAATTTAAGGCAGCTCCATAGATACTTATCTTTTCATTCTTCTCATTACAGATATGTTATTGTCAATATCCATTAAGTCTTAATATGTCATGCCTTTTGAAGCAAGCTTCCCTTAAAAGTATACAATTTTGATTTGCCTTGTTTCATTACTTTTTCAATTTAAAAGTCACACTTTAAAAAATTGTTTAAGTCAAGCATATGCATTAGAAAGGAAAATTTGAGCATTATGTGTAGGTAGGAGCACAGCCAAGGGACTTGGGGGAACCTGTGATTGGAGGGGAGGGACATGGGTTGGGAGTGTGGTGGTAGGAGATAAGGGGAAAGGTGAGTTCACACACATGTGAAGGTAAGGCCCCTGGATACTATTGTTCTCTGAGGTTACGTCACTGCCTTTTTTTTTTTTTAAATCTATCTTTGGGGGGTGGGGGGAGAATGCAAGCAGGGGAGGGGCAGGGTGAGGGCGACAGGATCTGAAGCAGGTTCAGCACTGACAGGCTGACAGCAGCGAGCCCTACGTGGGGCTCGAACTCACGAACTGCGAGATCATGACGTGAGCTGAAGCTGGACACTCAACCACCCCATGTCACTGCTTTCTAAAGGAGCCTTATGATTTAGTACAGAAACACAATGAACTTAGGAGCCAGACGGGATTAGAATTTTGAGTAAGTCATTTAATTTCTCTAGTCTCACTGTTCTTACCTGTAAACAGAGACTACAGAGGTATAATGTAAGCACATAGTATTTATAATAGTAGCTAACATTGAGTGCTTTCTTTGTGCTAGGCACTATTTTGTTTCTTATAAATGAGCAAAGAATTTATTAGGATCATAGTTGAACCTTAGTGGTTAGAAACTTCACTGTATTCTGTAAAATTCCTATAGGATCTGAAACATTTAAAATTTTGTTCTTTTAGAGGAAACATGGAGAAAGCCATTGACATGTTCAACAAAGCTATTAACCTGGCTAAATCGGAGATGGAGATGGCTCATCTGTACTCACTGTGTGATGCTGCTCATGCCCAGACAGAAGTTGCAAAGAAATACGGATTAAAACCACCAACATTATAAAATAGGGGGAAAGAGAATGACCCTCTTTTTAGAAGTTTACTCCCTTTTCAACTGAACCCTAAAGACACTGTCATGAACTGTGTTGAATGGTGGAACTTAGTATTTCTGTTTGTGCTGTTGTCATTCATTACAGGTTTCATGTCTAGGTGTTGTGGGAGTGGCTGTTGAAGGAAGTTTGCAGTGATGCAGCTTTTATTCCCTGTGCAACAAAACCTTAGAACCTGTTAAAGGGATATGAAAGCTGCAAAGAGTACAGATGATAATTAGCCATGCAAATAAAAACTTTGATTTGTTGATTTGGCTTTTTTTTTTTTTTTT